TCTACTTAAGGGGGACTATACCGGTACATAGCCGTGTGCCTCCAACATGTTGGACAAGATGAGCATGCGCACAGCTTACATCTAGGGATTAGTCCAAGGAAGTTTCAGGTGGGTAGCTTCCCCCAGAACAGCCTCACACAGCCCTTATATAAGCCTTATATAAGCCGTACCCACCTGATAACTACTCTGAACCCATCTCCTCCATCACACGTTCAAGCTCCTCCTCCAAATCTGGCTCCTTTGCCAGGAAAGGGACAAGGCAAGGATACGTTTCAGGGTGTAAGGTTTAGGGTGGGGTTCAGGGTTTAGGGTTGAGGGTTCAAGGGTTCAGGGAAGGCGCCAAGGGCACCTTTACCTTTGGCCGCACCCTATACCCTAAACCCTAAACCTGAAACCCTAAACCCCAAACCCTAAACCCCAAAATGGCATGGGTCCAGCGAGGGCTAAGCCTGCTCCACTTTGCCTCAGTAACTCTACTTGAAGGGATCTTCTTACGGGGCTAGTAGAACTCCTAGTACCCCTTGCGGTAACTGTTAAGAAGGAATTACCGACCTAAACCCCAAACCCTAAATCCTAAACCCCAATGTCGAAAACCTAAAACTTGAAACCCCATTGCGTTGCCACTTCAATGCTCTTGGGCAACTAACAAAAACCCCTGCCCCAAACTTGCTTCTAATTCTACCCGTCCAAAGTATACCTCTAAGCTTTAGGGTTTAGGGCTGAGGGTTTAGGGTCCCTGAAACCTTAACCCCCCAACCCTAAACCCTAAGCTGCGTGGGCAGCTGGGCTGGCTTAATGGTCTATGCTGACTGAAATCAAAATTTGCAGCGCCCTCTTCCAAGTAGCCATGTGGGTCTTCCCGAAAGGGACTTGGGCTTAGGATACTGGAGAATCAGTGCAAAAAATCAAAACATTACGTAAACGGGAGCTGGGATCACATATGGTTTACATAATGGTTTCCGGGGCTTGAGGCTTCCAAAAATAAGCCGTACCTTTTAGGTGCATCCCCCAGGTACGGAAACTACCACGTTGCTGTACCCTAAACATCCAACCCTAAACCCTAACGGCTAAATCCCAAACCCCAAACCCCAAAATGGTAGACATCCGTGACTACGGCCTGGCTATAGCTCGAGCATTTTTCTGCCTAGCCTCCAGAGTAGCTACAGTGGCCGGTGTATCTTAATGGTGGTTAGGGTTTGGGGGTTTAGGTTAGTAGGGAATGATGGCACGAAGAAAGAAAAGGAAACTGATCTATCATTGGGGTTTTTATTCTTACTGCGGGGGCCCACCCCACATAATCCCCAATATTCCCCAACGTAGGACTTTAGGGTTTAGGGTTTCGTGTGAGTGCGGTTATCAGTCCTCTCAACTGAGTCCTTTTTTCAAAAAATTGGATGTGCCATTTTGGGGGTCCCGATACTAGGGATTGTGGTATATTGGTGCTTTATCGCAACTACACCATGCTCCTTTCCATACCCTAAACCCTAAACCCTAATGTTCGCTGAAACATGGTCTGGGTCATACGCATTGTCGTCCTAAGCATAGCCTGCAGCATGACCCCTACCGAAAAGCAGACCTCCACACGCGGTTTAGGGTTTAGGATACAAAGACTTCCTCGAGAAATCCTAAATCACACGAGTCTGCTCGAGAGCAACGGCTTGAGCAATGCCTAGATATATAGGGTTGATACACGGGTATATGAGCTGCAGTCTAAACTCCGAAGATCCGCCTTAATAACCCCCGCAGTAATCCCCTATATGATATAACCCCTTTTTAAGGAGTTTAGACTATAGCTTTTATGGGGTTATCGGCCTGATATCGATTCATCTGAGGCAAAAACCCTTTTTTTGGTACTTAAGAGCCCCATAAACCCTGAACCCGGGGCCTTCTCACCTGTGGGCGACAGTACCTCCTCCATGGCTTTCTCCAGCTCCTTCTCAAAGTCCACCTCCGGTTAGGGTGTAGGGCTTAGGGTGTACTGTTTAGGGTTTAGGTTTTAGGGTTTAGGGTTCAGTGTTTGGGGTTTGAAAACCTACACCCAGTGATTCTGGGGGGTCCCTATTCAACATCCTACAGAAAGTATTATTTGAAGAAGCTCCCACACTCCTCCTGCTGGAACACCAACAACAAACACAAAGCCTGCTCCAAATGGGGATTCTAGGGCTAAAAAGCAACCTGTACCTCTAGTTCTACTGCCAAAGGACCACCAACACTGCAGCGCCACTCCTACTAGCTACTAGCATTGAAAATGAAATGGCTGGTTGTCAAAATTATGATCCCTTTATAGGTACCCTAAATATTAGGGGCCGTATTACAATAGGGACCCAAAAAGGGACCATAATTTTGACAACCAACCAAATGGAAGCTGGGGTTATGTAACGGTTTATCATGCTATGCACATTTTGTGAGTCTATTGATGCTGCTATTGTTGCCGCTGCTGTTGGTGCCACTGCGGCTTTCATGCCAACTGCCCCGATGCGGGTTGAGCTGACCCATGGCAGTCAAAACCACTAGTATTCCACTATGTTGCTGTCATAGTCTGAATGGCACGAAAATGATGGCAAGGCCTACTAAAACTCTCGCCCTAGGTACTCTAGGACTTTAGCCTGATATTTTCGCAACTACTTCTTAGGGATATATGTGCGAGCAGTGTGTTTGTGCCTACACTGGCTTAAAATACTATAATCTTTATTTTGGGGACCCCCAAAAGAGTAAAACCCTAAACCCTAAATAGTAGTTTCCATTTTGTTTTCCATTATCCCAATATAACCCAATAAAAACCATATGAAACCACGAATTTTGGGAAACCCCCCCAGCGGAGCTCGACCCCTACACCCTCAATCCTAAACCCCTAACGCGGTCAGGGTTTAGGGTTTAGGGTTTAGGGTTTGGTAAGGATTTCAGCCATAAGATTCAAAAACATTCCCTGCACTGATGCCAGCAGAGTTCATAGGGTTTTGGAGGTTTTGGGTTTAGGATTAAGACAGGGTTTACCCTTTAAACTCCACTTGGTTTAGGGTTTAGTTGGGGTTAACCCTTAAAACTCCGCTTGGTTTGGCATCTAGGGTTTAGTTGGGGTTTGCCCTTTAAACTCCACTTGGTTTTGGGTTTAGGGTTAAGGGGCAGAAGTTGCAGAAAAGACCTACAACACCCAGCTATTGCAGAGAGGGGCTTGCCTGGATTTGGAAAGTCGGAAGCAGAGGGGTTTTGGGTGTAGGGTTTAGGGCGACGTCACCATGTCAAGACAAACTTAGGAGTACCATTTTGGAGGTCCCAATAATAGGGATTCTAACATTTTTGGAGTCTATTTTAGGGTCCCCCTATTTTGGGAAACTATGCCAAGAGAAAACTCACATTTGTTTCAGTTCAACTGTAACCAGAATTTAAAGGCCCAGGACGTTCAAGAAAAACAGGCATTCCTGTTCGAAGGGCTTCACAGAGTCGCACACACTTTTTGTGTTCAGGCCAAAGGCCTGTCTGAACATAAACATCCGAAATGAATCACAAAACGAACTGCTCAAGCAAGTCGAAAGACGGAAAGATGCATCAACCAGGGTCACTAGGGGATATATATAGGGTTATATAGGGGTTATAGGGAATATAGTGGGGTTATATTGGGATAATGGAAAATCAAATGGAAACTACTATATTATATTACCAACCTCTAGAGAGTTGTCCAGCTCGGTCGCCATAGTCTTCATGCCATCATCCTGCGAGGAGAGGAAGCTTTAGGGTTTGGGGTTTAAGGTAGCACAGGCACCAGCAACTAAAACCGCCAACTGCTCTGCTATCACCACCACCCTCATGCCCTTCCTACTAGCATGCCACACAACTACGTGGATAACCACTGCCTGAAACATCTACTTGCCGTTACGAACCGCTAAAAACTCGTAAGCCCTGGCCTGCTATAAAGCCTTGTCAACCCTGATTAACCACATATGGCGGGCTGTCGAAATTATGGTCCCCTTTTGGGTCCCCTAAATAATAAGGACCCCAAAAGAGACCATAATTTTGATAACCACCACATATAAGCCCTTGTAAAAAGCCATGTAAACCGACAAACCACTAGATGCCTCTGCTGCTGTAGGCTTGGCTCCCTGAACCCTAAACCCTAAATCCTAAACCCTAAACCCTAAACCCTAGCCTCTGCTGCTGTAGGCTTGGCTCCCTAAACCCTAAACCCTAAACCCTAGCCTCTGCTGCTGTAGGCTTGGCTTCGTCGCTCCCTTCCTGGCGGCTCGAGTCTGTTTACGGCTCGAATCTTCAAGGCCCCAATTCTTTTAGCTGTTTTTTTTGTGGGACCTTTTCTCCGTGGCTTTTTTAGGGTCTAGGGTTTGGGGCTATAAGGATTTAGGGATTGGGGTGTAGGGTTTTGGGTCAAAGGTTAGGGGTTTAGGATTCAGGGTTCAGGTTCAGTAATGGAGAAGCCAATGGACAGGAAAATGTAAAATGAAATGGAAACTGGTCCTATAAAAGGTTAATCAGGATTGTAACGCACTTGGATGGGCCCAATTGGGATAACTAGTCAAGTAGCCTTGGGTTTGTCATGCTGAATTGTCCAAGAATCTTGACATCCACATGCGTCCAAGTGACAGCGAAATTGTCGGTTTTCTTCGACGAGTTGCCAAGGAGCTTTGGCGTTTCGATTCAAGTCTACTGGACACTTCAAACTTCACTGCTTGAGCACCTTTCGCCACATGAGCAATAGTCTAAACTCCTAGTATCCGATTAACAACGCCTCTAATACTCCGCCATACAATCCCCTATATAACCCCCTTTATGGAGTTTAGACCCTAAACCCTGAACCCTATATAACCCCCTATATAACCCCCTTCAATCAAGGAATTTAGACTCTAGCTCATATTAAAACTGAGTTGAAAAGTGTGAAGCGTTGGTATGGCCACGTGTCCTTCACAAGCGTGCCAGGTGTTGTGTCATAATCGGCCGCTGCGTTCGACATGTTTAATCCAGACCACCTGGATTATACAGGGGTAATATATATGTTATATAGGGATAATGGAAAAGAAAATGGAAACTGCTAGCAGTTGTGCAGCGTGGAAAGCCCTTTCAGAAGCAGCAAAACCCATTCAACAATCATGAAAGAACAAAAGGCATGATCGTAGGATTGCTAGCGTGGGTATGCGCCGCCCTCAGCCCAACCTACGCTTAAAAGTTGACCTCAGAGTCACACACGTCTACCCCTGATAAATCGTCATCCAAAAAGTCTGGGAATACCTGGGGTAAAGGTAAAGGGTTTAGGGTTCAGGGTTGGCAAAAGAATCCAACATCCCAGAAGGGTTTCGGCTTTAGGATGTAGGCTTTAGGTTTAGGATCTCACAACACATCTCAAACCTTTAACCCTAAACTGACCCTAAACCCTAAACCCTAAACCCTAAACCGAAGATAGCAAAACCCTAAGCCCTGATCCCGCCTGAGCAGCGTTCTCAATCCCGGCCTCCGTAGTCAGCATGTCCACGCGGTTTAGGGTTTAGGGTGTAGGGTTTAGGGTTTAGGGTTTAGGGTCCTCCTTAGACATGCAGGAAGGTAGATACGAGAGCCTCCCAAATCAGGTTTACCTCTTTTCGGGTCCCCATCATAAGGATTATAGCATTTTGGGGTCCATCTTCAAACCTTAAACCCTAAACCCTGTGATAAATAATTCTACCATTTTGGGGCCCATGTTGGGAGTCCTTGTTTTGAGGGGCTACGATACTCCCACCTGTAGCACTTTCACTACTTCTCGGGAATGTCCAACGATGCCTGGAATGGTTCATGGATGCTTTGAACTAGGGTTGTACGTTGGGAACTGGTCGTGAGTCGTAATAAAACCCTAAACCATAAACCCTAAAATTACGAGAGTTAGAACCACCCTTAGACCTACCAGCATCTCCCTGTATATGATGATATTACATAGGCCAAGCCGGCAATCCTTGTACGTCGTTTGCAGCCCTACGTAGAACTCTCTGAACTCGAAAGCAACCCTTAAACCCTAAACCCTAAAATGCTACAACTTTATAAATTCTCAGGGTTTAGGGTTCAGGGAAAAACCCCAGGACCCTCTGCAATAGAGCCTTGGCCAAGCCGTCGTCCAGCTTATCTACCGTGGTCGCCTGGCTCAAAATTTGTCGTGCAAGAATTCCTATTATGGGGTTGTAGGGGCCCCAAAAGCGGATCCCTAGTTTATCGAAACCCCAGTCCCTTTAAACGGTTGCATAATCCCAGTTTTCGTTTTATGCTCTGTTTTCTTTTCCATTGGATCCTCCATTATTGGGGTAGAACAAAAGACCCTATAGAACCCTATTCCCAACCAGGCTTTGGGAAATAGAAGGCAAGAAAGTGAGAAATGGATGTTGTTGTTCAGCTGTAGGGGCCGAATGATGAGGAACCACAGTGCATGTGACAATTCATGGGAGATCTCGAAAGTCATGGGTCCCTTTTGAGGGGGGAGGTTTTTAGGGGCATATAAGGATATATAAGGATATATAGGGATGTGTAGGGATATATCGGGAAGTATAGAGTACATAGTTAGACGGTTTCCCAAAAAATATGGGTCCCTTTTTGGGACCTTAAACCGTTGCCAGGCTCAGGCAGTCTTTGCTGAGCCCTGCCTCTATACTTAGCAACAAAAACCCGCGCATGGCTGTGGCCCCATGGAGATGAAACGAAAACAAGAATGTGGAAAATGGAAACTACTCTAGCATATTGGGGTAATGTTGGGATAATAGACAATATAATGGAAACTACTATTTAGGGTTTTGGTGGCTTTCCCAAAATTAGGGGTACAATGTTGGGGGTCCCCAAAATAAGGATTGTAGTATGTGGGGGTCTACATTGGGGTCCCCTCATTTTGGGAAACTACCAAGTAAACACGAGAAAAGGCCCTCAACTAGAGTACCACAGAGGGCTTGCAGAGAAGACAAAATGCACACCACTGAGTTATGAATGCATCATTTCGCAAGGATGCCTTGCCGCCACCAACTCCACCACCACCACCACCATCGCCACCACTAGGACCACGAGCGCGACTGTGGCCAGGACTTCCTGAACTTCCATCAAACCCCGGCAATGCACCTCTTCCGGGGAGTCTTCCATCTGGTCGAGAGCCTTTGCCAGGTCCTCCTCAAAGTCCTCCACGGCAACAAGCCCTTCACAGTTATAGGGTTTAGGGTTTACCCTAGAGGCATCTGCACCACTTGCTCATCGTGTTCCTGTGTGCCTATGTCAGGACTGGGGACGTCTGCTTGGTCTTCCGCTGGGCCAGGGTTTAGGGATGAGGGATTAGGGTTTAGGGTTTCCCAAAATTGGCGATGGCGATACTTTTTCAGGCTCCCCACAATCCATATTCTAAGATTTGGGGCGTATATTGAGGTTCCCCTATTTCTGGAAACTACCGAATCCAGCATAGGCAATGGCTTGGATGGCCCCCGCATGGAAGCCGAAGACTGCAGAAGTCAACTAGACGGCTTCCTAGGTAAATCCTAAACCCTAAACAGCTTCCTGTTGCCTGCACTGCTCAATATCCTTTGCTTGCACCCTCTCGCTACTTGAAAGGGTGATCCCTAAACTCTGAGGCCTAAAAGGTAAGCCCGAAATCTGATCTTTAAGGTTTAGGGTTTAGGGTTTAGGAAGAATCCTCTGCTGCTTCCGGATGGTAGTCTGCAAAAAGGTCATCAGCCTGCGGCAGAGCTGTCAATTGGACTTCTCGAAATTAGCGTTTTCGCTTCGCAAAAAAAATACTAACAAGAGCAATAGTAGTAATCGTAGCAACAATAGCAACAAGAATAGTTATGGTAACCACGAAAACAACCGTAATAGAATTACACCATACCACTGATGCAACAAAATTTGCATGGTCAAATGTGGGCACGGGCATTGGTTTTAAGCGTTTGATAACACTTCCCGACGAAACTTAATTTTTCGGCAACCAAATCACATCTTGTGCATGCAGGACAGACATACATCAAGCACATACTGGTCGGAAACCCAAGCCCCAAACCTAAGCCCAAAGACCAAAGCCTTAAACCTTATACAACCCCTATAACCCTGAGTAACCCCTATAACCCTTTAAAAGGTACCCTAATTTTTTGGGAAGCCCCAACCTTCGGCCTTTAGAACCTAAACCCCGCACTGGACGCCTCATCTTTGTTTTCCCCTTCGGGCGTGGGATCCTCTTCCGCCGTGGCAGCTGCCTCGTCAAAGCCAGCAATGCAACTAGGGTTAAGGGTCTAGGGTTTGGGATTAAGGATTTAGGGTTTGGGGTTTAGGGTTCAAGGTTTGGGGTTTAGGGTTTAGGTTCTAGGGTTTAGGGTTTGGAGTTTAGGGTTTGGGTTTACGGGTTACCCTTCAACCCTGATGATGGTGTAAGCTGAGGACGAGATAGAGGATATAGCGGCAACAAAAAGAAAGGGATGGGCTGATCAGTCTCTGTGGTTTGCAAAAGGTATCCCTAATTTAGGGACCCTAAACCCTAAACCCTAAGCCCTCATCCCTAGACAGTCAAAGTCACTGTTGTATGAATGACCAGAGTTAATGCTATCTCCACCATGCGAAGATGGAGGTTTCCCTCAACTAGGGGTTCCTTTAAAAGGGGAGGTTAGGGTTATACAAGGGATCTGTAGGGATATTTGGTACATACTTTTT